ATTCGAATCCACACCGATTTATGGCACAACTACAACAAGTACAAGCAACAATTCCAATTTTTCCACGGCTTCTATAAACTCTCTAACTCATGAAACTCCAGTGAGCGTTGAAGGCCTATTGGGGTCCAGTCAAAGGGACCTATCAAGTTTCGGTATACAGAGAAAAGGAGACTATAATTCAAGTCTTCATCAAAATCATTATATGAATAGAAGAAATTTATTAACGATACAGGAATCAAGTGGTAAGTTCCTCGGAAGACAATTTGTTCTGATCAAATTAGTGTCTAAGTTTCTGTGTTTTAGTAGGCCTTTCTGACACACACACACACACTAGACAGTCTACTTCTCACTGAAGAGCCTGATAGTTGAATTTGCAAATCAGTTCTGGAAACAGTTTTTGTGTAGGACAACTTGTTGATTCAACTGACTGCTTGATCGGTCAGTCACCTAGATGTCCGAGAAGGTATCTTGAAATAAGTTTCGGTGCTTCTAAATTCTTTACTATGTCAACACCGAAGGAATAAAATAAGCAGTATTATGATGAAAAAGAAATTAAATAATATGATACTGTGTGAGGATCTTAGATAATTTAATTCAGCTTATGAGCGTCAAATGACATTCATGTGCTCTCAGGTAAATTGTTGAGCAGTTTCTGCATGACAAGCACAGGGAAGACGACGAGAAACAGTGTTCATCATGTAGTAAAACCATAAGTGACTATTGCATGATGAATCGCTCGCAGCCACATAAGTCAACTGATTTCACAACACTTTTGTTAGAAATTCATATCAGCTAAGCGACCACATAAATCTGTCATGCTCTGTAGAGCTTTCTAGTTCTAAGTTTGAAATGCTCACTAACTTATAGCTTTGAACGGTAACCATGGGATATATGATTCTACCGCAGTTAACGAGTGGTGAAATACTAGGTAGAAGACGTCACTCACGGGGGCTGGATTTCCAAATAACATTCGAGTCTCTAACATGAAGAGTAGCAGTGTCCAGTCCTACCGGATTTCCAATATTTATTGAGTCGGCACTGTTTCATAACACAAACTCCACGTTTTTGGCCTTTAGGGATGACGATTAACACGGATAAATGGAAAATAAGGTTGGTTTTAGTACGCTACATTTCTTACCAATTATGATTTCTATACGAGATGCACTTTGTTTATTCTGTGGAGAGACAACTGTTTCAATGTACTACAACTTTGTCTATGCTTCTGGTCCATGTTGAAATTAACGAGATATTCTGTAATCTAGTAACACTGTGACTGCACATATTTGAATCGGTTGAGGTATACTACTTTGCAAATTTTAAGTAGGCCAACAGTTTTACACAATTATGAATGTGCACTGAACGATAGTGGTAAAGATGCTTTATCATTTGTGTTTTAAGCTATCAGAAGTGAATGCACAGTTTTAACCCAAACATAGCTATCCTAATGTCTACCTTGCATTCTTTATATTAGCTGCTACGCAGGTTGTGGACGCAGCGGAAGTTAGCAACACCAGTATCAGTATGGTAAGTGTAAAGTTTTGAGATGATTATTTGCTTAGGAATGTTTCAGATTAACCTGTAATCTTTTTAAAATGGAAAACTGCATTTCCTCAATAGGTCGACTTAAGATTTTAGACTTTCGAAATGATGAAGTTAGGTTTTGAAAACCCTCTCATCTTCAATTTATTATTATATCAATGAGTTTTAAATGACTAAGGTGCTTAATATTACTCAGTCGTAAGAAAAGACGTAAACAGCGAAGAGAATTCTCTCTACGACGATTCATGTACAATCGTATTTATATCTAACTAAGAAATCATTAGACCGTCTGGATACTGGTAAACTTTGTTCTCGAAACATTCATTACGTAATGTAAGGTACAGCCTAGAAGGGATGACTAATTTGACTTTAGAAAAGAGGCAGAAGTTGGCATGACGTTATAAGTGTGAAATAATGTCGGTTGTTGGAATAAGCATACATATGCAGATAGGGTGGAAAAATTTGAGGCAGACCGGTCCAAAGGTCATGTGGACTATGAAGTATAAGAAGAAGTAAGTTCAATTTGTCAAACATGTGTCAATATCTCGCCTATGAGAAAATTTGCATTTAACAGCACTGAATCGCAAGTCTCATCATTTCTACATTCATTCATCATGCATCACGAGAATTTACTTGTAGATAAAGGGAAATTCATAAGAACTTCGAATGAAATGTATTAAAATCCTCTTCTTTTCGTTCAACCCAATATAATTCTTGTTAGTCTGGTTAGTGAAATAAAAGTATGATAAAGGTTTTTACAGTATTGTTCTTGTCGTATACAATAACAATCTACGATATTTACGACGTAAGTGTCTAGATGAAGGCAGTGACACTTACTTTACTTATCCACTCCATATGCACAGCAATAAATGCAAACGAAAGTGAATTTTTCTCCTGAACAATATGACTGATTTGTGTACTCCCTCTCCTCTTTCACGTTTTCATCATCATAATAATTATACACATTGTTCACAACTTAATTAGTTGGTATAGCATGCATACATCAACATTCTTATTCTGTCTTCAAAATGCTCAATTATTCAATAAGTAAGTATGTAAATAAGTAGGTAAGGAGCTACAAAATATTCTGAGGACTAGTTGATAAAAATGTCAACTCTACCTACAAAAGATAAGCGTATTATTGTTTGTGTTCGAGCTAGGTTATATGATTGACATTAATATAAAAGATATGTAAAACTGTCTTAGACTTGATTAAAACAAAATGGAACAATAAGGCGGTTTCACTGTTTGCACCATAGAATGAAGGAGCCAGTTTCTGAATATCTTACCTACCTGAATTTCACTAAGGCATTCAAAAGTTATTATGAGTAAACATGTGTGGTTGAATTATGGAGGACAGCCTACCTCGTGAATTCAGTAAACATATAGATCTGCGTATAAATTCATCAACCATATCTACTTACTAACTAAGCATTCTAGTTTTGTGGAACAGATGACTTCAGATACATGATTTTCCCTTAATCCTATGTCCTGTTCTGACTCTTAAATTCAGGCCAACTATTCCGACAAATCCCGAATATGACAAAGTGTTTGTTGAAATCATACTCGATTATGATAAGTGAGAAATCCACGCAAAGTGAGCAAAACACAGTTGTATGATAACACTCTGGTTACTTGGAAATACTAGCTGGAGATCCCTGACGATAATAATAATTCTGATTGTAGAAAAACACAGGAACTGCTAACTGGTGGGATGAATACCAGGATACTGCTTCAGACTGAGCTTATAGCAGATGATGAAATACCATGACAATAAGTCACAAAGTACACAGGATACAGCTCTGATACTTCTTACAGGATTGACTGATTAAGAGGAAATGCCATGAGAGATACCTAGTGAAGGAGTGAGTCCTGAATAAAATAAATCTCTGATTACCTTTCCAACTGAATTATTTCTGTCATATTCACAAATCGATTTTGTACAAAGGGGGCAAGTATTTGAGTGCTACATGAAAACACTAATGAATAAGTTCAACACATGCAATAGAAACCATAACTCTGCAGTAAAACCTGAAGAAAATAACAAGATTCTCTGCTGAATCGAACTCACAGGACTATAACAGTCACCATAACAAGAAAGTTAGCCAAATGATATGTACACTTTGTGCATTTTGTTTCTTGTTCACTGTTTCACTGATCACGACATCTACAATTTTCTCTCTTTCTGTTTACAGACTGAAGATCTTTATCAGAAGACCGAGAGTCTTTATGAACAAATCTCCACAATGTCAGCTGAGATATCAATTAGAGTGAGTTTAAACAAGCACTTTTGATCTTTTATTTTAAAACAGTACACTGATGTAATGACTGAAGATGAAAAAGCCTAAGTGACGAAAGGGTACAAACTTATCATGTTTGACTTATTAACTTGACACTTTACTGACTACTAGAATACAACCGACTTCATCTACAACTCAGAATCACTTCAACCACCAGTTGTCATACCTAATTTTGCGGGTATTTGTTGTTCTCTACAAAAGAAACAAAACAAAACATTTGAGGGTTCAGTTCAACGACTGTTGCAGTAATTGCTTGCAGTTTGCAGTCTATCTTTTCCCCTCAACCACTAAATCTTTCTGCCTACCAAGAATCAGGTTTAGTTTATATAGAAAATGTTCCTGAAAACTGATTTTAGTTGCCTTCCCTTCATGTGTACAAAGCAATAGGGCGTTCAGAACACGTCTGACATATGATGATGAACTTATTAGCCATAGATTCATGTTTACGAATCGGCTTAATGATTTGACTAGGTAATAGATCGACTATCTGGATGGCTACTTGGCTGGCATATAGTCCTAGAAATATACATCGTATATAAAATCGTTTAATGTTACGCCTGATTATGCACTTTAAAAAGAGAAATGGAGAGGAAAAACCTAGATCTGTGAAAAAAGATAGTCTGACCAATGGAACAGACTGTTTACTGATTGGATAAGTCATGGTTGCAAAGGGAATTTGTTAAGGAAATAATGTGAATGACCACACCGAGTCACACAAACACACACACATATAAATACACTTTTGTCTTTGCACACATTTTCTGTCTCACTTGAAAGAACAGTAATCAAGGGAGTGTCACATTAATTAATTAGTTATCTCTGAAGTGGAATTTATTACGTAATTATCCGTATCCCATTGAGGCATTTTGAGCTGTTCAAGTAAAAATAATCTGTACAATGGAAAGATTTTATCCAAATTTCTATTCTTATACGAAATCTCACTACGAACCATTGCTTTCGAGTCTATTAACAAGATCTGAACCAGAGCGTAGTGCTAAACTGCACATTGACTGTAAGGATAATGATTCCAGTGAGGAGAAACAAAATAGCTCGTGTAGTGAAAGACAAAATACGAACATGAATGAAGTCACTGAGCAACAGAATTCTTCGGCATCACCCGAAATGCTTCGGTAACGAATACAAAATGTGGATAGAACAAAAATGTCACGTAATCAACTAGCGAAATGGACGACAACAGATTCGCAAAGATGGGCTCACGAAAATTCAGACCCTCCAGGCCGTGAAAAGTCTACTGAAGAAGAAGATCTAACTGGTTCAGTCTTCACCGGATCTGTACAGTCATTTATATTGCCATTTACTAGAATTAATGAATACTTAACACCAGGAATTAACGCTAAATATCACAACCACTCTAGAACTTTCGAAAGTGGAATCAACTATCTGAGCTTAGTTTCCCGTAATGATGTTCGATGTAACACCATTCCAAACTGTCAGCATTTTCCTGGTCTAATGTCAACATCTTTAACAAAGACAAATTCACCAATAAAGCATAAGTCAAGATCACTGCGTAAGCATTCACGTGAAAAAACACTACCATGTTCAAATCAAGACGATAAAACACTCATGACGTTAGATTCTAATAATGTGTTCATCAATCTAAATGAGTCCAAATTACAGATTGCGACAAATCAGAAGAGCGTACCCCGTTCTAGAAGATTACCGTCACCATGTGTTCGTATGAAAACACTAGAAACGGACACAAATTATAATGTATCTCTCGAAACAGGTCAGAACACAAGCTCCTCAAACTATGATCTTCGACCGAAGCGATTAATAGAAACAGAACGCATGGTTAGACAAGAATTGGCGTCTGCAAAACAGAAATCAGCAACCTTCAATAGTAACAATGGCATAGACAGAGAAGATCGGAAATCAGCGATGCAGAATTCACCAATACCTCTAAAAAAGTCGAGTTCTAGTGAGAGAAGACAAACAATTTCTCCAGATACAAATACACCTGTGAATGTTTTAGAAGAAATAAATTCATTTGAAATGAGTGACAGTGAGACAAACTTATCTAGAGGATTGGACAAAACTCGAGTCCTAAGGAATGGTGATGATTTAATCAGAACTGATGGAGATTCGAAGGTAGTTCAATTGAGTTTCAAGCGTGCGTGCAGTTAATTTGTTCCGCTATCTGTCTTTTGCCTTGTCATAATGTACTCTGTAAGACTCGAATTTTACCAATTTGGTTACAGCGGAAATGAGCAGAGGTGGATTGAATGTATGTCTAGAAATGTATTAGTATAAACAGTTTTATAACGTGTAAGCACTGACAACGCACAATGCTCTTCATTGATAAGTCAGTTAAATATATATATGTGAATTTGTGAGGGTAGAATAAATCATGTATATTAGTCAGTGGAGAAACTATTGGAATTTTAAGCACCATTTAACTGGACTTCGAGTGGTACGTGAAATGCGCGCGTCACTATTTCATGTAGTAAGTAGTACTATGGAAAATTTTATGAACAGTTCACGGACACCTGCATGACAAAATTTGCTGCAATAATTTGTTGATTTAAAAAGTCTCTGCTTACGCCAAAAGAAATTAATTCTCTGTCCTAGAATCTGCTTCTTATACCCTTTTTCTCCAATATTCAAACACTCAGTTTATCAACAAAACTATTAGTTAGATTGGTGAAATCTTACCAGCTCTGCGTATCGAAATACAGTGCTGGTTGCACTACTACGAAAACCTAGTACTGAATGGTCACTAAGTGCTCAATATTCAGTTTTCTCTTCTATACAGGACACTATGATTCGAGATTTAAGAGATACCGTGGTAAATAAGGTGGATCGAATTAGGCAACTTAAAACGTCGGAAATTATGAAAGTTATTTTCATGAAAATAGTTTCTATTTTAGGTTTTCTATTTTAGGTTATTTTTTGGTTTAGGATGAATTTCTGGCCACCATTCAAAAGGTGTATTTACCATGAAGTAGTCCATTGAGTCCAACTTTACGAGACTGTTGAAAAGAGAATTTCAAAAAGTGTTGGCAGCTTCTTATCACAGGTGTTTTGTTCATTTGTCTAGGTTAGATATAAAACAAGATAAGAAGTGATCAGGTTAGTTGTAGAGCTTTTGGCAAGAATGGGGAGTCAGCTGATGACGTTTTAAGACTAGGAGATGGCGAGAAGTTGTGTTACAAATATCGAGCCATGATCTATGAAAAATTATGTTAGCTGAAATAAGATCAGGCTATTGACTAGTCTGAATTGATCAGAACAAAACGCGTCACTAGTCCATGAAGACTTTAACTTTTGGTTTGACCCGGGTGAAGGATTGTAGATTGTCCGGCTACGGTTCGTGAAGTGCTAAGAATCATCGGTAGGAAGCTTTCTGTGAAAAGGTCCTAAAATTGCTAATGATTCTACGTTTGCACTGGCTTTGTTAACTTCGACATCATAAAAGTCGACAACAAATATTCATTCAACTATTCTCCACCATTCGTTTCTGTCCACTATAGTTTTACTATCCCTCTTTTTTCTTGTATCTTATGCGAGCAAAGTTTTGTGTTGTTCAATTAGTCATTCTGCTCTTTTTTCATTTATTAATTAACTCACCCAGTCACTCATTAGATTGCCAAGCATCATATGCGCCTACTGAAATAAACACTCGATAAGTTGTTTAACTGATCGACCGTTAGATAAATAAATGAATAATACAAAAGAAATTAGGTAAATAGAAAATAAATCAGTGATACATTAAACTTTTCAGTACTCATATTCAGGTGACGTTTTCTCCGAGTCAAGAACAGAATCTTAAGGTGTTCTATTCTTAATGTCGTTATGGGAAATGTTTACCTTCCTTCAGTGTACCAGTCACAGTTGGTTTCATTACCGAATTAATGAAACTGAAAATTGGATGGAGGAGTTCATTATGAGCTGATATCAGTTAGAGAACCAGTGTAAAACCTGGGAGTACTGGACATCTGTTTCGTTCTAGTTTGGGACTCTTGATCAGTACGCACCCACCGAAAAATCTCAGTATGGATCTCTGTTGTCTCTTACTATCAAGTTGTACCTGTAAAGCTTACACTCATCATAAGACCATGTATGACTTCTGGTATTGCGTTCAGATGCCTTATTATATCAGATTCGTAAAATAAGTTCTAATTACATCCGACACCGTTCTCAGGAGTTTCAAAAAGGGTAGGTAACAATAAAGTTTGAACTGAATACTATATATAAATATATATATGTATATGTATATATATATATATATAGTGAGAAGGCACGATGATATGGAATGGCATGTGATAATACACTATAATTGAGGACGACAACGTCTAGAAGTTACCTCTTTGAAAGTTCAGTAGTATAAAACTAATAGGCAATGCATTTTTTTATTAATTCGTATTATTATTATTTTATTCCTTCTCGTTCCCAGTGGAAAATAGGGCTTCAAGCTAGAGGCTTGAAGTTTCGGTGGCAGTGTTTATTTTTACAGGATGGAGATGCTAGCCTCATGCAGAACCTTTCCTGTTTATCAGGTTTATTACTGGCTTAGCAATGTAAAGGAGTGTGTCGGCCGGGGATCGAACCCTGCAGCATGTCCATGGTCGGCAAGCGTCCTAACCGCTTCGTCACCAACGCACAAGGAAATGCAATATTCCATAGTTACATTAAATTCTGCCCTTAAATTTCTGACAGCTGCACATGTCCATAAGATGACAAATATATCAGAAATCTGGGTTTCGAAAACACAGTATTGAACCGTTGGAATTCAAATACTTCGACATTGACGTTATAAGACGTCTAAGCTGAAGCATAGATGACGTATCGAAGAAAGTGCGCCCAACTGAAACTTCAGGATTAGTTCTATTGCACTACGTTATGACAGTATCTTGACAGTTATTATTTTAACAGAATATCTATCTTTATGACGAATATTCAAAACCTGTCTAGTTACCATCTTTGTTGAATGCTCAGAATAATCCTTATTCTTCTAATATTTACATTAACCGTTCATTTGACTTGGTATTTGACGTTTATAACTTCTGCCTATTTGATTATGATTTCTTTGAGATACGAGAGCTTCGAAGCTTTATAAATCAAATACTTGAGGAAGATAGGGACAACAAGTCTTTAGCCAACTCTCCGAACAGTTTTAAACCAAGTCCAAGAAGATCGATGTCTTGTCGTACACTTCCTGATGCTATGTACCAAGGTGAGTTTGGATTCTGTGACCAACTTATTGTTCTTTATATTAATGGTATAAGAAACTTGATAAATATGTACAAAGAACATTTTAGAGAACTTTCAGATTCTTCACCTTCCGAAAAATGTCACAATGGGATTCATAAAGCTTCATTATAAATTTTAAGCTAATTATATTCCATTATTATTTAATTCGAAGCTATTAGACTTGGAAATGTAGTTCCGTTAAATGTATAAACATTTCAGAAGTGCACTCACTATTCAGGATGATTACGAGATTGAATTCACAGCCCACAGGCTGATAAATAACATGTCAGAGTATGTGACCATTGAGTTACGTGTATCAAAGCAACAATGAAATGTAGAAGTGAACTGTAAAACACCAACAGAGCATAACATAAGACGAACCTCATGTGCAGGTCAAATCAGAAGTATAAAGGAGAAGTAATCGTAGTTAATTTCCTTCGGTGAAGCTTCACTTTTTACATCCCTCAATCCATCCATCCATCCATCCATCTCACTTCATTTTATGCATTCAGTGCATTTGACAGGAACGTTTTCAAGCGGTTGAACTAGTCTCTGTTTACTTCAAACTTTTACAGAATAGTCAGAGAAGATTTTGGTTTAGATTCTTTGAATATTTATCGTTGCTGTGATAAGCGTATACGTCGCTGTTCTTAGAAAGTAGATGTTCAACCACAGTTAATATGCGTCTGTTGCTAAAAACACCACAGCTCATCATGGAGACTTACACATGAAAGAGGAAAACACAGTACTTAGTTATTAAAACCTTGTATTCAACATCTTCTCTGAGTAGATCTTTCTGGAAAAGTAACCGACGTGAGTCACATGTTCTCACTATGGACCAACATCAGCTGCATACATCTGCCTGATGTTTATTACTTACACAACCGATTTCCACCTATCATGAAGAAGCATTCCGAAATATTTTGAACCATGTGCAATAAAGAAGGCTTCAGTACTCACGAGAACACCATGGAATTAAGGGATTTAACGAGAGACCATGATGCATTTACAGTGCTAAACAGAATTTTACTTTGTCCGTCACTTTACATTCAAAAACAGATTACTGTCTAAGCATTGGAGAAATAAAAAGCTAATCACTCTTATATCAATGAGTAACAGGCAATCAGTTAATGTTTAAGTGTTGGTTTGTAGGGATTAGATTGGTTGCACGATTTTCATCATGAGCTGACATTAGTTAAAGAAACATTGGAAATCCTGGGAGTGCTGGACAGCTGTTTCGTCCTAGTTTGGGACTCTTCACAGTACGCACCCACCGGGATTCGAACCCAGGACCTTCTGGTTACAAGGCGAGCTCGTAGACCATTAAGCCACTGGGACCCGATCCAATGGCCCATGAATTCTAACTTCTGCCAATTCACGACATAGCGCGTCCCGTAGCCAATGTCTTCGGCGAGTATTTGTCCTCACACCCGACCTGCTGCACCCTTCTGATCACGACTTCTCAGTAGAACCCCAGGTAACTACCTACCTGAATAGGGCAAGTCGCCAGTGAGCATCTCATTGATATTCAAGTAATCTGAAGGTAGCGTGAAGTGGAGATCATTTGACCAGGGGATAACTACTTATGAACACTCCTCTGAAGCCAGCTAGAGAAGACTTCAGAAAAATGAGTGGAATGCCAATGTGCTTTTGTAGTCCACTTTTGTTCCACTCGGAACCCAATAGTAATAGTAATAATAATCATATAATGATCTTTCCATTTATACTTCACATCTAAATTCTCTTTGAAGTAGGCATAATCAGTTCCATTGCGTGATTCCCCAATTGAAGGTTTGTCACCAATTTCTGTCCTGTTTCAAATAATCTATTCTTTATTAATATATATATATATCCAAGGTATTTGTAAACATTTCTGTATTGTATCCAACTTTCACGCGTGTTGTAGGCGCTATTTTCTCTCAACCAATGGCTGCTGCAGCAGCAGTTGCAGCTAGTGGTGCAGCAGGTGTTGGTAATTCAGCTCCATCACCAGTTGCTGCAATGCTTGGAAATTTAATTGGTTGTAATGAAAAAGATATTGTGCATGCTGTTCAATCGTCGTCGACGTTATCATCGGCGTCGGCGTCGTCATCATCATCATCATCAGCAGCAGCAGCATCATCATCTTCGTATGCCGGAGCATCGTTATTACCCAACTCATCTAGACATAATAACTGTTCTGTTAGCAATAAATGTGACTCTGATGCTACTACAGTTATCAACCGTTGCCCGCAGCAGCAGCAACAACAACAACAACAAATTTCTACAGTTGATGAGAAAAGTTCAAACGATGATCATGAAAACGAACATGGCGGTAGTGGTGGTGGTGGTGTAGGCGTTAGTAATAATAGTAATAATAATAATAATAATTCTATGGATCAAAATAATGTTCAATCGAATACTATCAACACTTCTTCATCGTCATCAGATCGTTGTAAGTGTACAAATACCTTATTGGATAATAATCCACATTCTCTTCAAGATGCAATTACCTCAGATTCAAGCAATTGGTCCAGGTAATGTTTCTCTTGGTTATGATGAAAATGTTAATGCATTTTATTTTATTTGAGTTATGGATGTGGTTTTTGTTGTTGTTGAAATTTCATGCCTTGAATTCTGATTGCAACACAGGAGACTCAAAATTTGAGGTTTGAAGATTTAATAGCAGTGTTGTTGCTAACTCCACGCCTGTAACGACAGAAGGCAGGAAGTCAGGCAACAGATCGTTTATTGAGAAAATCAACAAATATTTATAGATTTATATGTACATCATTGTCAGCGGAAAGGCAACTTCTTCTGATTGGTTGTTTTCTCGCTGAAGGCTATTCTGTCATTGCTCTATGGTCGTTTCTTAGAAAGTAAGGCCATATATCTGCGAATCGTATTTGCACACGTTAAGTCTGCTGTGATTGTTTTTTAAGTTCCTCAAGGTTATTGTTTTTCTCATGACCCCGATTCCGGATGTAACCCTCACGTAAATTGTTGTTTACAATTTCGGCTTGTTCACAACCAGATCTCACACACGCCCAAACCTTCCTTTTCTGAGCTTGCTACTGGGTAGTTGAGATGTAGGAGTGCGCTGGTTGGGGGATCGAACCCCAGATTGCGTGTGTGGTTGGTGTGAAGCGACTTCGATCGAGATGCCTAGGAGACACGTGTTACGTATGCCTCTAATTATTGCCTTCTTCGACTGGCCATTTTAGTTGATATAGAATCAGGTTGGAAAATAGCTAGTGGTGGTCAAACGAAAACATGACTTCATCAGTCAATGGAAGCCATAACAGGTTAAATTGAGCGGTGTAGGAAGATGTAGACTTCCTGACTGACTGGTTATGGTGCCCAGGATGCTAAAAACCAATGAAGGCTGGAGGCTATTGGTGATATGTCTATTTTTGTCTTTTTATGTTACTGTTCTTTCTCTCTCTCTCTCAAATTTCTGCTAATTTTCATTTTTTCAAAAAATCTCTTTTGTCCTCTTTTGTGTGCTTCATGGAGTGTGGCAACTTGATGTACTGCAGCACTTCTGTGCAGATTTCTATGTTGAAATCAGTCAGTCAGCGTGATTGGTTGGGCATTCTATCGTTGAATTGACTGCATACTGAATGTTGCATCTCTCTTTGCAGACTTATGTATCTCTATCTACACTTTGAGGTGTTTATATCATCATCATCATCATCATGTTGGACAACAATTTCTTATAATTAAGGGTTTTAAATATGTAAGTTTTATTTGTGAAGGTCCGTTACTATACTCAAGCAATCTACAATCCATAGGGGTGAAGTTAGCAATCTGCCTGCTCAGCATTCAATGGATATAACCCACTATCGTATAATGATTCATAGAACGAAGCTTGGTCTGCTAATAAATCCACACCTAAATAATTGTCTGTTTATTTCACAGACGCTGTAAGAGGTAGATACAGGTGTGTGTGTGTGTGTGTGTAATGGCGTTCCATTGCTATGTCTTTAGAAGCACCAATAACTGTAAACATCGGTAGCTCTTATTTTTACTGTTGACTGGTGAATACTTTCGATTCGGATTCCAGTGGCTGTGAATGGTCTACGAACTCGCTTTGTAGCCAAAAGGACCTGGGCTCGAACCCTCGTGGCGGGTGCGTACTGTCAATGAGTCCAAAACTAAGCTGACTTCCTTGTTGTTTTCAATGGGTCTCCCAATGCTATCAATCGGCGGGCAAACTTGAAACTTTCGAAAGCCCAGTCGTCCGAAATGTCTTCTTTCAATGAAAGCAAAAGTAAGCATAGGGATATGAAATCGCCGCATCAGGCAGAAATTTAGTAAGGCGGAGAAAATTTTAAAATAAATGGGAAGATATAGGGTGGAAGTGTTAGGAATCTGTGAGAGCGAGGGGAACGGAAGTTCCCTCAGCAATGTATCCAATCCATTACCATTTCCTTCTTCATATATATTTGGCAATAGATGGTTCATTCCTTGCCCCTAATCTTTTCTGGTTATCCTATCTTTATTATGGAGTTAGCGAAGGCAGCTGTTGATGAAAGTCTGTAGTCTGACTGACTGATTGACTGCTTTCAACATAGAACTTAGTACCGAAATGCGGCAGTTCAAGTCGCTACACTCCCTTCATGTAGCACACAAAGCAACAGAAGAAAGCAGAAAAAATGCAAAATAGAGACAGTAAACAGAGATATGAAGCAAAAAGAATAGTAATATCCAAGAACCATATGGTTTTTATTGGGTATTATAAGTCACAAGGAATGGATGCATCTGCGCCATTGAGAAAGATTTTCAGCCATATCACCAGTTATCTCCAGCCATTGGTTTTTACCATCCCGATGACCCCAACCAGTCAGGAAGTCTACACCTCCCTACGTGGCTGCCGGCTTAAACTAACTATTGCAGATTTCATTGACTGATGAAGCCGTGTTTTGGTTTGACCAACACTAGCTGTCTCTTTTCCAACCTGATCCATCCTATGTCAGCTAACATTACCCGTCAGTTGAGCAAGGCGATGGCTAGGCCTGCGTAACACATGTCCTAACCATCTCAATCGATGTAACTTCATAGCCTCATCTATTGATTTCCCCTTCTTGAGTAACACTCGATATCTAACCTCAATATTGTTCATCTTATTGTACCACTTAACACACACGGGAGATAAACGCAGAAACCTATGATCAAAGACAGCTAGCTGGCATTTTCATGTCTTTCACTTACAATGGCTATGCTCCACAACCAGCCACAAAGGAGGAAAGGGCGGATTGCTCAGCAGTACATACGCCCTTTGGTTGACAGCAAGCCGGATATCACGTCTGCGCCAGAGACGGTGTAAACTGGCATATGCAGAGATTTCATCAGGGATCAAACCGCTGGCGTTAGCTGATGCAACTTCCAAAATAAATGAAGTCGTCAAGATGCTCTACCACTTCACTCCCTATTTCTAAGCTAGGAGTCAGTGTAGTCCAGTACTGTAGCAGCATCTTACATTTGGCGGTAGCAAATCGCATGTTAAACATTCGCAGATTGTTAGCCTCAAGGTATTCAGAAGACTGCATTTTGTCAGCGTCTTCACGTAGGAGAGAGGACTATACCACCTGCATATTCTAAGTCAACGAGATTATTCCCTGGTAACAAGTCAATCCCTGAGTTGTTGAAATCTCCACAGTTAGGGTTAATTCCATTAGTACATGTATAATGAAATTGAATAGAAATGGGGTTAGTGAGTTGGCATCTCTGATGGACACCGCTGGTTGTCATCACTTCTGATGACAACTCACCGTAAGCTCTCACCTGGTTGACTGCATGACTTCGAGTAGAGTGCCTTGATCAGCGCAATGTATTTTCTCGGCATTCCTTTTACAGCCAAACGTCGCCATAGTACCTCTCGGTTGACAGAATCAAACACCGCCTTTAGGTCAAGAAATATGACGATTGTTGGACGCCGGTAAGAATGCCTATATTCCAGAATCTGTCGAAGAGTGAAGATATGATCAATACACCCCCTGCCTGGTTCTCTCGTGTTTGCTTCTCCCGAGCACCACTTAGTCTACGCATTATTATTTGAGCCTGGAACTTTAGTTACCATAATAATCAAGTTAACCTTTTCTAACCCCCTCTCTCCACAGTGTTGAGACAGCATAGCTGGTATGCTGGTCATCTGAGGGGAACACCTCACTGCTGTTACATTCCTGTTCTTCAGCATTACGACTTCGCTCACAGACCCTCAGCATAGTGTAAAATTTTCCTACACTATGCTGATAACTGCTTTCAGTCTAATCTCTATCCTAACAACTTTCCTAGCCTGGTAGGACCTTCAGGAAAATTAGTTCCAGCCAGTGTAGCTTGTTGGGTCATTGCGATATGCAAGCGCAGTCACCACGTCAAGATAGCAGGTATCCATCGATCGGGCGGGATAAGTCTGTGGTAGCCTGTTGAGAATGCTTTTAGTAACACGTTGGGTCTGTGAATCAGATGTACTTGTAAAGTGTAAGTAGATTGTGAAGCTGAGTTTTACACTGATACTCTTTACCTTTCTCCGTCTCTTAGCGATGAATAAGTAATTATTTTTTGTTTCTTATTTCTTTAGTGTAATAACAACAATAGCGTCAGCTGCAAAAGCCGCAGCTGCAGCTGCCGTCGCGGCTACAGCTGCAGTAACTGGTGTCGCTAATTTCTTCCGTCTAACAAAGTTGAAAAATAAAGTTGATCCTCAATTACAATCAGGATCATCATTATCATCATCATCATCATCCAGTGGGACGCCGGCATCATCATCATCAACCTCTAGCCCCTCACTTCGGTGTATTGATCAGTGTAGAAATCTTCGGCTGAGTACTACTACAGATCAAATGTCTTCGTCTGTTATTGTTCATGATGATGATGATGAGGAGGAGGAGGAGGAGGAGGAGGAGCAGGAAACTGAACTCAGTGGCTGTTTGTCAACTGAAGAAGCTGTAACAATGACAAGTGCTGCAGCGGGGGCGGCAGCTACAGTCGCTGCTGAACGACACCAGTTGTTTGAAAATAATTTTCTATCTGAGGTAGGCTAATTCTCGCATTTTTCTATATTTCTAACCTTCATAGTGTGTTGTTATTTTTTGTTGTTGTCATATCATAATCACTCTGGTAGCGTAGCATTTCATCGTTACTCTCATGCTGGACCATCGTCTTTCTCAACGATTAATGATAGCTGACGTGGAATTATTCTGTAACAGAATCAGGGGTAGTCAGTCTAAAATCTGGAATCAGTCCATGAAATCATCGGCTGTTGGTTTGAGCAAGCCACGGAGGCATGTGTAGACGCTATTAGTCAACGGTTGGAGGAGACTGTTGGTTGTGTGATTCAAAATCCTTCCCATTGGAGCAGATGCATCCCAGAAACATTAAGCGCTCATGTTTTCCAGGTTACTATTCTTTCTCACGCATATTTATGCTGATTACAGTTATTTGGAGTCTCTTTTCAGGTTTACCTTTGTGCGCTGTATGAAATGTGACGAACTGAACTGCTTCAATTCTGTCCAAACAATAGATCTCAATAGTAATAATAATGACGACACCAACCGTAAGGAATCCAAATCATCAGTAGTAATTCCATACAATGAAGGAACCTCGGAAACCGTATGCAGAATTCTTAACAAGGCAGGAATAAAAGTGGCTGGCATTCAAATCCACAAACTCAATTAGAAACAAGCTTTGTCGGTTAAAGGATCCTGTAGAGCCTTTGAAACAAAACAATATAGTTTATCTAATACCCTGCCTGAGATGATTGTCAGATCAAATACATAGGTCAAACTAGTAGAACAGGAGCAGTCAGACAAACCGAGCATAAAAACCTGGCAGCGAAAACTAGACTGTTTGACCCTAATAATAAGATAAGAAATTTAGGGAATACTTCAGCTATAGCACTACATGCAGTTACACACAACCACACAATAGGATGGGATAGGATCACAGTTTTAAAATCATCACAGATCTACTAGAAATCTCATTAAATTTTTTTCCAATCTAGATTGACCACTTAATAAGCAGTCTCTTGTCGTTGTTATTGAATAAGTTGAAACACTCATGTTAATAAATACGCTTAACAATGAGTCATGACTTTTGTGTAAGAATAAATAATATTATTCTTGACTGATCAAAGGTCAATAGGGGTTGGGGTGGGGGGTGCAGGATTCTAACTTGTAAACAAGTGGTTGACAATCGAGTGTTTAACATAATAATAATAATAATCCACTGACTGACTGGTTCCAACATAGAATTTTGCATAGATGTGCAACAGTTCGAGTTACCACACTCCCTCCATGTAGCAAGCACACAAAGCAAGAGAAGAGAGATAAAAAACAGAAGTGTGAGTGAGGGAAGAGGAGGAGAGTTTTGTTGGATATTATTAATCATAGAGAGTGAATGCATCTGCTCCATCAATAAGAACGATTGTGAGCCGTATCACCAATTCTTTCCAGCCTCCATTGGTTATTACTCTCCTGAGGGCCCCAACCAGTCAGTCAGGAAGTCTACACTTCTCTACATTGTCTAACTTAAACTAAATGTCATGGATTTCATTGACTGATGAACGCAATAGAGACGTGCGGCTGAAGCCCTATGTTCTAGGATTTAAAGGAAATAATAATAATATCGTCTTTGTTTATTATCACACATTTTTCACTCTACTGATCAAGGCAACCCTCAAGTCACCGAAGCAAAATCAGAGACATCTTCATTAGTACATCTACGATGAAACTGAATAAAAGTGGAGACATTGAGCATCAGTGATCGTCATCACCTCAGATGACAACTTTTCAAAAGATTTTACACAATCTCATAAATTCAAGTAGGGTGCCTTGATTAGTGTTATATACATTCTCAGAGCACAGCTTTGTCACGTCAGGACTCCATAGATGTCCTCAATATATTTTCCATTTGTAACATAGGCTCTATTTGAGCACTGATGGTAACTGCTAGAATACCTATATTTGAGATCTTTGCTTTAAACAGCAAACAAGAGAGCTTTTTTATAGAACTGATCCGTTACTTATTTCCAGGTGAAGTTGGTTGCGGGTGTAAGCGGAGATTATGGGAAGCCATTGATAAGTATCACAATCTTTTCCTCTTTTAACAATCAGAGCTAGAAAAACACTGCTAATCGTCTCTTAAAACCAAGTTATCAGCTTAATACTAGAGCATTCAACGTCAGGGCTCTTAACCAAGTAGGATAACAGGCTTCAACAGACAGAACTTTTGCATCTGGAGACATGAATGTAAGTTGTATTCCTGAGAGATGCATTCAAAACTCAAGTGTTCTTATTCACTTAACCCCCTATCTGGCCAGCGTAGTGAATCTGCAAACTTCACCGTACAGTTTTCAAGGGATTCTTCCAGTAGTCCGTTCAAGTTTGAGTGCCAGAGTGGGAAAATTCCTGCTTGATTAGATCCCAGTAGTTAGTCGTATACGTGCTATCTAACTGAATGGATCCGTTTGAGGTGCTCTTTATGACGCGTCAAGTCTCTAATCCGTATAGTAGCACTGACTTCACATTGGAGTTGAAAATCCGGATCTTATTTTCATTTTCATGCTGAGTGCTGTTGACCTCCAAACAGACTTGAGAGTAATGAAAGCTTGTCTTGCTTTCCCGATAGAAATAGAGAGATAGATGGATAATAGATAGAGAGGTGACTGCCATTCAAAGCTTTGTTCAATGATGATCCGTAGTGCGGCGATTCGATCAATACATGACTTGTTTCTTCTGAATCCAGCTTGTTCCGGTCGAAGTATTTCATCCAGAGCTTGTTTGGTTCTCTCCAGGATGATGCGGCTTAGTATTTTGCTTGGGATGGACAGGAGCATAATGCCACGCCAGTTCTCACATTGACTTAAGCCTCCTTTCTTTGGCAGTTTGAATATGTAGCCTTTCTTCCAATCCTCGGTACCCTGCCCTCTTTCCACACCTTCTCCAGTAGTGGCGTCATCATGTCCGCTGTTGCCTCTGAATCCATTTTCAATGCTTCTGCTGGGATTCCATCTGGTCCTGCTGATTTTCCAGCTTTTTGCATCTTGATTGCCTTCAGGACTTCTGATTTCGTCGGGGGGTTGGTGTTCACTGGTAGCTCTGTCTCCGTTGTTGGTATTGTTGGGCGCATTGTAGGTGGTGGTCGATTTAAGAGTCTTTTGAAGTGCTCAGCCCAGTGTTTCCTTTGCTCCACTTCTTTGGTGAGTGACTTTCCGTTGTCATCTTTCACCGGCTTAATTTGTGTCAAACTTTTGCCCGATAGGTACCTAGTTGCTTGGTAGAGTGTTGCAAGATCTCCTTTGTCTGCAGCTTAATCTGCTTCACTTGCCATGGCTTCATAATATTTTCTTTTGTCTTCCCTGGCACTCTTCTTTACTCATTTGTTCAGTGTATTGTAGCTTGCATTCAACTCCTGTTTTTGTTGCTCGTCGATGCACTGGAGAATCTTTTGTTTCACCATCCCTCTCTCTTCTACTAGTTTCCAAGTGTCCGTAGTGAGCCACGGTTTGTCTAGTCTCTTCATTCTGTCCAGAATTTCCGTGCAGGTTTGACTCCACACCGCTTTCAAGTTGTTCCAGTGCTTTTCGACGCTGACCTCTTCGCTAGTGTTGATTTGTGTCTCGGCTTTTCCCCTTATGCTTGCAGTGAAGATGTCCTTTGTATCCTGGTCCTTCAGTTTTTGAGTGTTGAACTTGGCTTGTAGTCTATCTGCTTCTCTGAAAGCTTTTAGTTTGATTTGGATTGTCCCGTGTACGTGATAGTGGTCTGAGCCAACGTCTGCTCCTCTTTTTACTTTTGTGTCCAGTAGGCTGCGCCTCCACTTCCTTGAGATTGAGATGAAGTCAATTTGGTTTTTGGTTCACCCATCTGGTGACATCCATGTAGCCTTGTGGATATCTTTGTGTTTGTATACGCTGCCACCAATCACTCGTTCATTGAAGGCGCAGAAGTCGGCGTAGAGTTCTCCATTTTCATTCACCTCTCTGAGAGCTTCTTTACCCATGGTGAGTTTCTTTCCTGTGTTGTCTGGTCCTAGTTTGGCGTTCATGTCTCCGATGAGTATTTTAATGTCTCCAACTGGAGACGATACGAAAAGACTAATAGGCAGAATGTTTAAAGTGATCAACAGTGTTACTTTGGCTCTGTAAAATGAATAAATGTCGTTCTGATTAAGTTGTGCAGTATGATAATGTGACTTTTATGATGAAATACTAGACGTGAATGAATGTCAAATAATTTTCAGACAGTAAAAGCACTTCTCTGGTTAGAGGATTTCATTATGAGCTGAACTCAGTTAGAAAACTATCGGAAAACCTGTTAGTAGTACTGGACAGCTGTTTTGCTCTAGTTGCGGGTACTTCATCGGTACTCACCTCAGGATCTTCCGGTTACAAGGCGTGCTCGTAGGCTATTAAGCCAATGTCCTGGGTTCGAACTCCGGTGGGCGAGTACTAATAAAATGTCCCAAATTAGGATGAAATAGCAAGTGATAGAGCAAACCCGTACCGCAAACAAAATGGGTACTTGATAATAATTACTGTAAATCACTGGACTTAAATGCCAGAACTTCATACATTTGGTTCCCTTGATAAATTTCGTCAAAGAAAGGGAGACGAAATTTGCAGTATAAAATGATATCGTCATTCTATTTCACAGGTTCTCATCAGCTGCACACCCCTACCTGAAATTACAATGGTTATATAGATGATAATATCATACTTTAATGTTTAAGTGGCAGTAGAGAAGAAATACTATAAAATTGAGGCATCCAAAATGTAAGCATTACAATTTTTAGTTTAAGTTTTCATCATCAATTTATACGCTTTCAAAGTAGAAAAGAGGAGGGGGAGGGGTAAGACAGAAAACAGAAAAAATTAACAGGTTCACATAGCAACTCAGAAAACAAAAGCGGTTACAGTTTACAAGATTAAGATTTGTTCAGTGAGTTGAGATCATTGAATTAGATGACTAATTAATGTAATCAAAATCAAAATTCAGTTACCAAGGGAGTGAGAGGTTAATCACACTCTCTTTCTGTATGCATAAGTCTGGTTTGAATCATTTGATTGCAATCGCTTCGGTAAATCGTAGTAAATTTGCTGTCCTTTGTCTATCTCTACGAGATGTCAGGTATCAACAAATGTTTGGTAATTGCACTCTGAAAATATTTGCTTCCTTTCAGGCACAGGTTTCTTGGAATATGTTCAAAAAACCGGATAGAAGCTCTTCTTTTCGTCTTTGCAATGTACTTGCTCCCGCAAACGCACGTAAATTCATAAACGCAGTTGAGGGTGACATCAGCAGGATGTTTAACCAGTTTTGATTGGCTTTTAGAAGAAGTGGTGTTGTATACTGTTATGAAGGCAAGAACTAAAAAAGAATTTGGAATTTTCCAAATGTCTAAAATTAATGGCGAAAATGCACTAATGTGTTGATTGGATGGTAATATCACAAGTTGAACTGTTAAATGAGACTGATACCACCACTCTCCTTCGTGTTTTGTTCTTTTGAATCTAATGGACGAAATAAATCTATGCTGTGTCGTCTTCACCGCGCTAAACATCTTTCTTTTTCAAACCTTCCCCATTTTTTGTTGGCATATCTGGTTGGGGTAAAATTGTTGGCTTGTGTCCAAATGTGATTCGCTAATTGGATTAGTATAGGGGGAATAAAACAACTCTGTTATTTATTATACCGTAATAAATTGTGTTTACTTATATACCCGTGTACTGATTCTTGCTTGTATGACATTACTTACAGATGAATCGTCCAATAGACCCTTTGACTGCATCAATCGCCAATGCATCTGTCTCCCCCGGTATGCAAAACATATCTCAACCTTCTTCAGCTTTCGAAGTATGCCATTTTCCTGTTGTTTCAATTGCAAACGTCTTCCCTAAACTATCACAAGATGTTACGTCAGAGAATGCAAAATTAAATCCTGTCGGTGTACCGAATACAGTGACCCTACTTTTAGGTCAGAGTACAACACCACAAACATCAACCTATGCTATTCCTGCTTCAGTCGCTTCTCATCCTAGTGTTCCAATGCAAATTCCTGTTTCTGTTGGAACGCATTTAACGCCAACGGTTAGTTGTCCACCACATCGTGGTGGTCCAGCTAAACTGGTTGTCTCTGTAGCCTATCCAAATCAAGCTGCTACTGCTGCTGCCACCAGTGTTAGGCCGACAACGTCAAATCAGTATATTGCATCGAATCCTGTGAATAACAGTAATAATACACAGACGCCGCATCTGATGCCTAATAATCATCAAATTCAAATAGTACATAAATTTACAGACCCAAAACAAATAACACGCAAAAAATGATCTCAAACAACATATATATATAAATATATATAAAACCTTCATATTTTTCTTACTCTCAATCTTCCCCTTTTTGAAGTGTGCTAAAAATACTTATTTAGTATGTTTGCAATATCTTAAAATTAATCTTTATATAAGTTGGTGAAGGCAACACGCAGGAAGCCTTGAACCCAGGTATCGTGACAGGTGGCATTCTTCAGCAAAGCGTATCTGCAACCTTGAAGGAACTGACGTCCTTTCTGAGATTCCAACCCGCGTCACTCAGTCCTGCAGTCAGAGACGTTACCACTGAGCTATTCAGGCTCGCGATTGACCTCCTGTAGGACTGTAGTGGATATTTTGATTTGACACTGCAGCCGTTGCTGGAGCCTTTGCAACGACTCGTGATTATTTTATAATAAGAACTTTTTGAGATAGGAGATTAAGTGACCTTTGTAAGTGAGTAGAAATTTTCAGGTTATTATAAGTTACTGGGTCATTCAATTTAACTTTGTATAGTCACATGATCGATCGCCATCTTGAGGAAATTAGAATGTTCATTAGTTATGAGAATCCACAATTCAGAAATTCTAAGAGTGCACAGTGTCAACACAAATAGAGGTGGAGCTTATGTGATAGCCTAATATCACCTCTACATAATTTTGCTTCTTCTTGATTAGTGATTAGTGTAACTATTGTCTCATGTTGAGTCATTCTGATCACATGTGGTAGGTAATGAGTGATTCAATCAAAGAAGATTAACTGATTAAGTTGTCTCTCCATCTAAGTATTTTACTTTTAAGTACTTTTCTTCTTCCTCAGCATATTGCGCTATCACAAATACGCAGATATGCAATGGCGACCGACGTTTTGGCACATTACTTAGACTAGATACGTTTATCATTCTCAAACCTATCGTCTGAATAACCAACTGATCTCGATCGACTGGTTTAGCAGATCTGTTTGAATTAATAATCTTTATATGGTGTTGAGTAGTCGGGTAATTTGGATCGTCGGCTAGAATGGTGAGCTGATACGTTTGAATGACATCCTAAATGTTGACTTATTTAGAACCTTATATAGGGACTTATATGTTCTGTCATTACCTGGCACCATGGTAGTGCTATTCAGACTTTCAATTTCTTAGCATTCACGTAATCGTCATCATTCACCCAACTACTACTACTACTTTGCTTGCAAGCCACAGTGAATTTTGTGCACCATGTCGTCACTCCATAACCGTAATTACTGATTTCCATTGAAATTTACCTGGTCTTTTCACTAATCAGCTAGAGGTCATCAAAAATCATGAAAACGTTAACAGCATAAAGAATCCTACAATACACTATAAAATTTATTTAACACTCCTGGAGCACAAGTTCTTCTGGATATACAGCTGAACTACAAATACTAAAGCAGGGAATATATAATTACTAGAATCTTCGGGAAATAACTACTTACAGTTAAGTCCATGAAGAAAGATGGTTACTCTATTCACAAGATTTTCCAGAATCTGACTTTATTGCCTGAAATGAATGTGCAAACTTGCCTGATAGACCATGCAGCTCTGAGCAGGTAATGATGACACTCACCAAAGTTATAAATCTCAGTAATTTCAAAATCTTATGAAGGATACGTGCAACGCAGATTCCATCAATTTCGCTCAAAATGATGTCTCAAACAGAAATTGTCTACTATCTAATAACTAGTAGTATAGCTATTTCAGTCGAAAACCCTGTGTCTTTTAGACTCTGTCATAAAACAGGCGACAAATACACCAGTTATCACTATTAATGTCTGTTATTCTCCGTATTGATTTTGCATACTGGACCTACTCACAGCACTTACCTAATTTCAGTGCAGAGTCTCCTCTGTTCCTGAGTGTTTGACCTTAGTGGAATCACATATTTGGTTGGCAGCTCAAAAGTCTATTCATGCTTTTATTTTCCTTAATGTTTAACATAAGAGAACACTGGGTTCACCAAACAAATACCAGCAAAGTTGTAGCTGAATGGCACTCTGCTTGCTGATGTACACTCACACAATGTTTGAGGCGAAAATATTTTCCTTGAAAAGTGCATGCATTATGAGCTTTTCATACTGATAGTTTATCACGAGTCTGACATAGATTTTATTATTCGACTTGCAGAGTATACTGGAATTGTTGATTTGTAATGTCACTCTAAATAGAGTCAAATAACTTAATGAATTGAACAGCTTATTCCACCCCAGCTGTCGCTTGAGACTACAGTTACTTCTAAACTGACTCAAATTCTATGATCTCTAAAAAATTTCCGTAACACTGAAAATTTATAATCTCACAACCTTGATTCTTACACATTATGAGAACACATGATAAGTTGTTCAAAAATATATAATGAAACCTATAAACATCTGAGTGGCGTCCAGCAATATTTTTAAAGTTTTATTAACTTTAAAAAGGGATTTTTGGACTTCTCCTGATATGAATAAACCAAACGCTTGAGTTACTTGCAGAATCCAGGATGTAGAGTCTGTCTTCAGAACATAAAGATAATAAATAACAACTATGAACCTAAAATAGTGAGGTATTCGGGCTAAATTCCGTCAAGTGCACTGTCACGGCATGTCAAAAACTAAACGGCATTTCTGTTTAAGAATGGTTGACGATCAGAGGCAAGGAAAGCGCCAACACACAGGACAAAGAGAAATGGTTGGTATAAACAAGGCTCAAGAAAGAGGGGAAACTAATGCGGAACATGCAAAGCAAGTACAGTTTAATCACAAGGTGAAAATTACTCTAGACAAAATACAGTGTTAACATGCTCAACAAGATATAGTTAGTTCTATGAAAGCTAACAGCTGTGGAAACAAGAGAATGATATATTTAAAAGAATATAAACATACATCTTATTAGTAACAAGTCGTATAAATATGAACACAAGGCAAAGTAGGAAGATATCGATAAAGGTTAACTAAGCAGCGAACAGCTTCAATAAATAAACAGCTTCAAATAAGTATACCATATTCAAATAAAACAGTGTACGAATTGACTAGCTGCTGGCCGACATTATTATTCACTAAAATATAACCCACAGTTTCCCACCCTATAAATCGTTTCGCATGAAACTTCAGCATCAACTGGCTATTGTGATTACAACAGCAATCATTTTTTCCAGTAAACATAATCATCAATTATCCTGATCGAATGTTAGGAAAGTGTGATGGTTCTTACAATTTCTGATTAACACACTGTTTTCCGCGCCACTCAGCTCTAATCAAAGTTGTCTAAACATAGTTTATATTATCATATCAAAATTTTGCTTCAATCAGTCATGTTCAATACTGTTCAATATTTAACAGTATTCACAACATTTACAACTTTTCCGATTTCATGCCATCTTCCTTCCGTTCTGGGTCATCCATCCACCTAACTGTCATCTAATAGATGGAGCTAACCACTTTGTGATTTGGTGAATTCACCACCACCCGATATTCTTTATTTTCATTAATCAGGAGCACAAGGTGTAAGTAAGAATGTTTACGGAAATTAGTAGAAAGCTGGTCCCTTAAATGTGCTATTCTGATTTCACTGAATAATTTGAACTAATCTGGGTCATTTTAGCTTGGTTTTCCTTGCAAAGGAATATCATTAAGATGACTACGATATTTTGAACAGTGGTATTTTTTGCTGCAGAATATGGAAGATGAGCATACACAGTTATTATTTCATGTCTGTAATTTCAGATTCAAATCAGTTTGTGATTATGGGTCCTAAGCTCCTTAAGTTTCATTATCGATCCATATTATTTTAGCGTAAATTGTATTGTGGTCAAAATGAAGGTATTCAGTCTTTTTCTCACCTGTTTTGTTAGTTAGTATGCTGCGGAAGTATTGCGTAATTAGCATAACAATCAACAGTCAGACGCATGTGATCATTGCCGAATATTTTGTAAATATTAATCAAACAATCACCACTTGTAGGTATGAACTGAGACAGTTTTGAAATTCAACATGCAAATATCAAACAGAAGTTATCCGACACAAGGGAAAAATAGTTAAACAAAAATTGCATGAAGGAACTTCACTTCATTGCCGTTGTCACAAGTCTATCTTACAAGCGAAGAAACAACGATTCAATAAGTTACTTTTAAATGTTATTTCACCCACTTCATTGCGAACAAAAATAATTAAAATTCAGTCTGCAATTTAGATGTTCATCTCATTCAATGACTCAGTCAGTCTTATTAGGTCGTAAAGGTAATTGAGATGCTTTAATTTCCAGTAATCTTCACACAAACGGTACAATGGGATTATTTATCTGTTAGGCAAGTAAATTCTTCAGTTACTGCTCAATCAGGCAAACAAAGACAGCATCAAACTTCTTTTATGAAAAAATACCTTCAAAGTTTTGACTTGCACCTAATCAAATAATAGTAAAGTGATTGAGTATGGTGATAACAACCACTCAATTGCGATTATTGAACGATGCATTTTGAGGGCTTTGTTTACCGAATATTATCAAAATCACATGCAAATTTGTTCTTTTCCAGTTGAATGTAGAATATTTGTAGGATTTTCTGGCGTAGTTATAAGTGGAGGAAATATTTCATAGACCATAAATAAAAAAAATGAACACATAACAGCAGGCAACGAATACTTAGTCCAACAACTGTTTTCGATTATCATAATGAATAAAACATTAGAAAGCATATTCATCGAAAAGAACATAACATTTGCATCGCATTAAACTGTTATTATTATTTTCGGCGACAGGAAGAAGTGAAATAATCAATAAAACAAAATCACTCACTTAATACTCCATGAGCTTTCCCTGTAAACAGAAGGCCCAGGATTTCAAATGCGCTGGTAAGTACGTGCAGATTAAGAGCGCGAAGAAATATGTGTCCAGTAAATCCAGGTTTTCCAGCGGACACACAAACGATGTCACATCAAGAAGAAACCCTCGAAAGAAAAAAATTGAGGAGAGGTGTGGTTATTCAGATTGAAAGCACATAAGGTGAATAAATAATAAATGATTCCGT